ATATATAACATTATTTACATAACACCCTGTATATTTATATAAGTTAGGACTCCTGGAACGCTATGAAAAAAAATAGGAGTTTTAACAAATTTGATGACATCAAATTCATGTTCTTTTTTGAAAAGTTTTTAAAACGCGATGGTCTTGATTATGACATAATACATTGTATAAAAACAATTCGGCATATTTAATTCAATTTATTTTTTAAATTAAAAATTTTGCTTATAATTTGTTCATAACCGGTAAAAATTATGGACCAAATGATATTTATAATGTCAAGTTTTTTTTCTTCATATAAATCAAATTGCTTTTTTGTGCCCTGACTTAACTTTTTTAGAATTTTCAATTTTACTACTAGGTATGTCTTAAAATTAATGGTGGTTAGGATTTTCAATCCCTAAATAATTTGAAATGTATTGATCTTAAATAGATAGATTTTTTATGGTAAAGTAAGATTTTTAAATGCGATATTTTTAAATTAATGTGTGTTACCTATAGGTAACCAAAAATAAAAGATAATATATTATATAAAGATTGGTATGTACGTATTTTTATTTAAAAACATACCTATATCTACTATAAAATAAAAATAATAAAACAAGCATAAAAATATACACAAAATAAGAGTTGTTTGAGGTTGTTTTTTATGCGCATGCCATGAATTTAAATTTAACCAATTAAAATGTATCTTGACAGTGTTGCCCAATTGCCAAATTACTAAACTGGCGGATACAAAACTGGAACCATACGAGGCAAAGAAAAACACTTCTATTCGGATAACTGTAAGATAAAGGTAACTGTAAGATACTTAACCGGCACTTTTAATGGGACATTGATAAACCGGCCCTTAGTCAAATGGCATACAATATTTTACCTTAAAGGCACAGTTTTATTTGTTTATTTATTTTTACAATTATAATAACAATACTTGTTATTAAAAGTATAAGTATAGGTTGTAAAAAACTTCACCTATAATTGGTCTAAATTATTTGTACAGCCTAGGAAATAATTGAATACTTTGGTAGTGAGCGTTGACAATATTACGCTTGAGGATTAATATTGGTTTTTTGTGTTTGTTTTTCCTATTGAACAAATATATTTATATATATATACAGCCAGTTCAGAATATAACCGAATATATCTATATATATATATATATATATATATATGGGGCGTGGCCTCGCCTCCCTCCAAGGCGCGTCACAGTAGCTTGTGTGATAAACGACGAAATGTCGAGCAGGTAAGACGACGAAAAATTAAATGATAATAATGCAAAAAATCTCATTAGCGATGCAGGCTATTTGCTTAGCTACTGTGTCGCGCGTTGGAGGAAGGCGAGGCCACGCCCCATATATATATAGAAATTGCATTTATTTATTAATAATTTATATTTTTTGGGAATAGTCCAGATATTCTTAACTTTTTTCAATAAATCCAAAATGTCAAAATCGGATTTTTGATCCCGGAAACTGCCCGAGTCAAAATTAAGATCGTAATTTAAACCTTAAGTCTGACAATTTCCGTCTTAAACGGTTTTATATTCGCCTAAAGATAACCAACTTATGACCTAAAACATGGCAGATAAGTCCATTTTCCCGATTTTTCGATTCAAATTACGTTTAAATTTAAACCAAAAATTTTATTAGAGGTTTAAATCGGTTCAAATGAAGATTAATTCGGTTGTTCTAGTGCTAAATTGGAGTAAACAGACTGAACAAGTTTTAAATCAGTTTTGGTAGGTCAAAGTAGGTTTAAATTACGATTTAAATTTTGACTCGGGTGGAAACTATAATGACGGTATATTCAAAAAATTGATTTGCTAAATATATGATTGTCTACCAAATCTTACCAATATATTTTGTACACTGACATTTTTTATTATTCCAAATATTCCAATTACAAAAATGTTTTTGTAAAAGTTAATTTGAAAAGGTAATTTATTATTAAAAAGTTTAAAAAGTGAGCTTGTCCTATATTCGGTAGCTTATATATCAAAGCGACACATGTCATCCAGTTTATGCAGGAAATGTTGTAAATTTCGCAGCAGGAATTCGACTACAAAGTAGTAATAACTTGCATGCAGCGCGTGATGCATTTTTGCGGAACGGCGACATCAGGCAGCTTTGGAGATCTCGACGTGATCGTTCGCCCAAACAGCTCTCCTTCAAAACTTATAATTAACCCTCGCGCCAGTAAATTCACACTTGGAAAACTCCGACATCAAAGGTAACTTTTGCGAAATATCGTCGTGTTTAAATGGCCGTATTTCGAGAATCCAGCGCAAATGCCATAACACTTTTATATATTTGCGCTCCCAGATGCAATTTCAAGTGCTTCCGCCAGATGGAGCTAACGTTTCTTCTTCGACGATAGCCAAGTTTTATTCTTCGCTTTTTTAAAACGTATGAGCTTTTGATACCGGTGCACAAGCATTTCTCACAATGAAAATATAAAATATTGTACTGAAAAATGCTTTTATTTTTTTGCCCTTTTGCTAAAATTTTAGTTATAAGAAGGTAAAACATAAATATAATTGTTTACCAAATTTTACGTATTTATATTTTAACACTGATTATTAAAGCGTAATAGTATAGGTACTATTGATTTTTTGATTTTAAGATATTATGTATCCAGTTTTATAAGCACCATTTTAGTTAGGTACAAGCGAAGCTTGGGAGCGGGTGTTTAGTTTAATAAAAACGAGTGTCTAGAAAAGTTTATAAAACGAGCTGCATACTTTGCTTTATCTACGACGAACACAAAACAAAATTTTAAGCCAATTTTACTTGTTAAACATTTGAAATCTGTCAAATGTCAACGGATTTAACCTCACTGTTCCCCAAAGCCACTATTTCCAACTTCAGCCCTTGACTAAAACGCTATTAAGTCATAGCTTATTAATGGGGGAGTAGATAATAGTATATTATATATTAAGTTTTATAAACACCATTTTAGTTACGTCTACGACGAACAGAAATAAGAATTTTATGCCAATTTTAATTTATAAATATTTGACCTCTAAATAATTTAACCTCACTTTTTGGCAATTTATAATAAAGCTAACTTCTGCCCGTGACTAAAATGCCCAAAAGCCACTGTTGTTAACTTCAGCCCGTGACTAAAACGCCATAAAGTCACAGCTTGTCAATGTGGGAGTAGATAATAGTATATTATGTATCAAGTTTTATAAACGCCATTTTAGTTACGAGTTTAATTAAGCACGAGCGAAGCTTGCGAGCGAGTGTTTAATAAAAACGAGTGTCTAGAGAAGTTTATAAACGAGTTGCATACTATACTTTATCTACGACGAACACAAAACAGAATTTAAAGCCAATTTTATTTGTTAAAATTTTGACATCTGTCAACTGTCACCCGAATTTAACCTCACTTTTTCCCAATTTATAAAAAAGCTAACTTCAGCCCGTGACGTAAAATGTCGAAAAGCCACTGTTGTTAACTTCAGCCCGTCAATAAAACGCCATAAAGTGACAGCTCGTCAATGTAGGAGTAGATAATAGTATATTATGTATCAAGTTTGATAAACGCCATTTTATACACGAATTTAATTTAGACACGAGCGAGCTTGCGAGCGAGTGCTTAAATTAATGAGTGTATAGAAAAGTTTATAAACGAGGTGCATACTATACTTTTTCTACGACAAATACTTATTATTATTTTAAAATGATTTAAATCAAAAATTTGTATAGAGCGCTATCTATGAAACAATAGGGGAATCTGTGTGTCACCGTCAAATGTCAAATTTTTATATTATAAAGGTTATAAATCGAAATGTATTTCTTAAAAATTGACAGTTTTTTACAGTGAAAGTAAAGAAAATGTTTTATGAGCACTTTATAGTGGAGTCCGTGCCCGAATTTAAGTTATAGTTTACTGCCGGCGAAATGAAAAGTTCAGTACAATGTTCATATAAACTTTTCAAATATTGGCGTTGAGAAACTATTTAACACTTTTGTATTTTTGTATTGAGATAATAAAATAATTTTCTCATTTAGTATTATTTTACAAGAAAGGCACTTTATTTTAACGATTGTATGACATTTGACAACTGTCAACTAACCTACAATAATACTAAATGTGAAAATTATTTTTGTATTGAGATAATAAAATAATTTTCACATTTAGTATTATTTTACAAGAAAGGCACTTTATTTTAACAATTGTATGACATTTGACAACTGTCAACTAACTTAAAACTAACTTCAGCCCGTGACTAAAAACCTGTTGCTTACTTCAGCCCGTGCCTAAAGCGCCATAAAGCCACAACTTGGCAATGTGTATTTAAAAGGTCACTTAGTGTCATGGTAACATGTACATGTTTTTAAACGGTTTTGGGATATTTTTTTACAACATATGTTAATCGACAAATCTGATTTTGACCTAGACTTTGAGTCCCATTTAATTTTAATTTGTACAAGATGCCTTAATTTTTTTTTTGGCCAAATTTTTTTATAGGACCAATAAAAAAAACGTAAACTTTTAATGCAGCGCCTTCTGTTTGTATTTTTTACATCGAATTGTAGGTACTACTGACTGGTACCTTAGACGAAACTTGAAATCATTTACTATTTGAATATAAATTGAATGACAAAAAAATAAAATTGAGGCTTCTTGTGCAAAATTAAATGGCGTCTGTAAGCCAAAGTTTAAGTCCGATACACAAAAAAATTAGATTTGTTGATAAAATAGGTGTACAACATATGTATAAAGTTCAATATCTGAGGTGTGTTAAAAATCTACCTTTCGAAATTGTAAAATTTAAAAATATTACCTTTAAACACGGAATTAAATAATACTGTGCCTTTAAATTTTACATAACCTTTAATTGTGTTGGTGACTTTTTCGGTCAATATTTTTGATTTTGACAACTTCTTATTAACAAATCCCTAGATTTAGATGACATGGTTTTGACGTTTCCAAATTTTAGTAATGCTTTAATTTTAATTTTTTATATTACCAAAATTATTTGTTAAGTGTTTTTAATGGATAAACTTTTCGGTAAACCTCCCACTTTGCCATGGGTTCAAGAATTTCATATAAAAAATAACGTATGGGAAAAACAAATCGAAGCAAATTTTAAGAAACCTTTCCTTCAACATGAAGCTAAACTTAATGTTAAATCTATAGTACCAAATTTTCCACCGGTGCACATTTTGGTGTCCATAAACAAAGATTTTGATTGTGAGTGGTTGGGTAAAATATTATCATGTGGAATAGCTGGAATTCGGATTGTTTTACCGGCACTGGACGAACTATTAGTATTAAAAATCTTGGAAAAAATTAAACTTGCAAATGATATTTATAGTATGAAAATTGGTAATGAAAATTTACTTTTAACAATTCTGGAAGTGGAAAGTTTTAGAGTACGAATAGGCAATTTAAAAAGCTACAAAATAACCCAGTTAAAATTGGAAGCTGGTAAAGAAGTGACATTGACAACCAATCCAGATTATAAAGAACATGTGACTGAAGATATGATCTATGTCGATTATGAGAAACTAACCAATGTGGTGCAAGCAGGAGATAAAATAATTTTTAATAACTGCTTGGCAGAATTAATTGCTGATAGGGTAAAAGAAACTGCAGTGGAATGTACAGTGGAAAAAACTGGCGACATAATCAGCGGAGAAAGTTTAACTATACCAGGGGCACCTATAGATAAAAACCAGATGAGTCACCACATGCAGCACAGAATTTTGGATTTTGTTGTTGATAACGATATAGATGTAGTAAATATATACGATTCCTACAACAAAAATGAACTTCAAGATATTTTAAATATAATAGAAAGTTCACTGAAAGTATACGTTTTTGCCACGATTGATAACTTATGTGCTATTAATGAATTTGAAATAATTTTAAAATATTGCGATGGAGTTTTTATAGATTTATTAAAATTGCAACTGGAAATCCAAAGAGAAAAATGTTTTGTTGCGCAAAAATCCCTGATAGCCAAGGCCAATATGTTTAAAAAACCGGTAATGGTAACATTAGATTTTTTAAATGGTAAAAAACTTACAAAATCGGAATGTTATGACATTGCAAATATGGTTCTAGATGGAGTCGACGGTTTTATCATACCACAAGAAAAATGCACAGTAGAAGCGTTACAAAACATAAATAAAATCAGCAAGGAGGCTGCTGCTGCATTTTACTTAGAGAAAAATTTTGATGGGTTTGCTAGAAATTATAAAGATCCTCAAATAGCCATTGCTTTATTAGCGGTGAAAATAACACACAGTTGTAAAGCCGCTGCCATTCTTTGCACCACAACCGCAGGGTCCACATCCAAACATTTATCTTATTTTAAACCTCAATGCCCCATCATAATTATAACAAAAGATAGAATAACTGCAAGGTATCTTAAAATTTTTCACGGTGTTGATCCTATAGTTTTGACCAAAAAAGATTTAGAAACAGTCAAGGATGCTGACTCCCGAATTGATTTTGGTATATCCTATGCTAAAAGAAAAGGGTATGCTAAAATGGGTGACGCTATTGTGACTGTGTCTTTATTTTCTAACGATTTTTTGGCTGCCAATTGCATCAAGGTTTTTTACTGTTCAAAAACAGGGTTTTCTGTGTCCAAATGTACTTATTGGTAAAACTTGTTTAGGCTCAACGTTTTATTTATAATGATTGTAACACTAATCATAGTAAAAGTTATTAATACAAACATTCTCTTAATTAAGTAAAAAATATGTCTGTTTAATTTGCAGTTAAGTTGACAACACAATAGAAGAAGAGTTGCTCAGCAGGAGCAAAGAAAAGTCGTCGCGGCAGGAAAGCAGGCGGTATGCAAATCGACAGGTAAATTAGACAGGTTACGACATGATTAGACTGCACAATGCTTGTTTCGAGTTAACGGAATTTCCCGCCGCTGGTAGTTTGGCTGGCGAACGCAAGGGCGCTGCATACGAATGGCAGATCTTGAAAATTGGCTACATTAACTGTAGCCTCCGTAAAAATACAGGCCGAGTTTAAATTAAGTATAATAAAAAAAATACTACACGATTATACAGTGTGTCCCTGAATATGTAGGCAATCTCCCGTATATAATTAAAACACATAAAAATAATAAGGAGTCCCTATAATTTTTATTTTCCGGCCTATAACGGACGCCCCTGAAAATTGTTTGTTTTTAAATAACTTTTGAAGTACTACGTGGAATTTAATATTTTTTAATAGACAAGTTTCCTTAAAATGGGCACTTTTAATCACATTCGGCTTATTTAGTTTGCCAGGGACGAACTAGCTCTAACAGAGTAATGCTGTACACTGTAGTAAAAAGGCACAACAATAATATTTTTGGTCAGCTTAAACCTTAAACTAAAAAAATGTACTCTTGATTGACATCGATAAAATATACTGTTTAAGAAAAAAAATATTTATCCGAAATCGGCAGTAAAGTAGTCAACAATCGGCAATAAAGTAAAAGAAATCGGCAGTAAAACAGAACTTGTATGCAACCCATTATACATTTTAAAACGAGTCTACTGCTCCTCATCAGCAACTAAATAATATTTAAAAAAAGGACCGTTGCGGAGGTCGATTGGACCCTTTCATAAAATGTTGTTTAATAAAAATAATAAGTTAATTTTACTAATTAAATAAAAAATACTGGTTTTTGCATTTATTCATATCTTTTTTGCAATGTTTTTTTAACATTAATCGATTTAAATAATGATGTCAGTGACAGTTAAAAACAGAGTGTTTTGAAATTTTCGATCTATTTTCTTCTTTTCATACTGGCCCATAATATCTCCGTAAAGGGTGCCCTAGGAAAAAGTATTTAGGAACTTGTCATATTTTTATTTGTTCTACATATTCTGGGAAACCCTGTATGTTTTTAAAAGTTACTTTTACAAATGAATGCAAATTCGCCAATCAGCAACACCATTTACCATTTTTGTCCACAATTTCATTATTTTATTGTTAAAAACTTTAAATAATATAATTTAATATAAAGTGCAAAATATAAAGGTAATTTTAGCATTTTTAATTCAATTTTAACTTTAAAAAACTCTGCTATTTAGTTTCAGAATATTAATACCGGCGCATTCGCCATTTTTGACGTTATTTTTCTTTAAAGATGATAATTTCAAATTTAATAGGTATTCATTATTATTTTGGTCACACAAAAATGGTATATTATTATAGATAAGATATAAGAGATAATGCAGTGTATTATTCACGAGGATAAGGTTTACATCTCGAGTCGCCAAACAAGAGACTCAAATCATCCGATTGAATAATGCGCATAATCCCAAGTGTAATACTATACTTTATCTATACCAATAAGTAGGTAATAAAATAATTTTCAAAAATAAATAAATAAAATCTGACACATGTCAAATAGTTAACCTTAACTTTTTACCAAATTTAAATATTATTATATTCGCCTTCTTTCAATTGGTTAAAATCACTGAATATTGAAATCGGTCATTTACTAATGCCTAGCAACGTGAATAATGAGTTGATAATTTTCGTTGTAGGGCAATAAATTTATAATCTTTAATATTATATACGGAAAAAACCCAATATTATGCAATAGGAGTAGTTAAATAAATATATTGCATTAGATGATATTAGCGTTATACTGACAGGTAGATAACCTCAATTATTTATATTCAAATGTCAAGCTGAGATATTATACATAATAGTACACTTATATTTCTATTTTAACTAAAAACTAATAATTTAAGAAAACCATATTTTCTGATTGGGTATATACAGGGAAAAAGCATGAATAAATATGATTTGTACATGGGATTAGATGTAATCTTGGTAGAAAATTCTAATGGTGTCATTATTTATGATTTGCTTTTAATAATTGTCAAGAAGTGTAGGAAGGGTCGAAGCAAAATGGCCGTCGTTATAAGATGTTATTAGCCTTGGGTGTCTAATAACTTAAAGAGCTTAGTGTTTTGATATGAAAATATTTCATTCGTAATTTTTGACATGAGAAGCAAAAATTTATGTAAATTGTTTAACCTTGGCTTTTAATTTAATTTATTAAACTATGGATTGGTTATTTGATTAGGTTACTTATAAAAAACCGTAAGTTTGGGCAACGTCTATAAAATAAATAGTCCGCCTCATCAAATCAAAAACCAGCGCATATTTTCGGAGAATACATGCAGAAAAGAAAGATTACTTTTACCAAAGGATCTTGTTTTCTTGGTTTTGTTTTAAGCATTGTTCTCCAACTTTGAACTCGTACCCAGCTGTGCTGCTACACCGCAGCCGAGTCGTCCTTAGAATGGGCTTCACCCAAGGGATTTGTGCGCCAGTTAAATTCATTCTAAGGAAGAGATTGCGATTTAAATTTTAGTTCTTTTTGTTTTCGAACTGAGCAACGAAAATATGACGCTCGATCTCATTCAGTCTTGCTTCAAAATGAATCGAATAATTTTGTTTACTGCAAAAATGTTTTGCCAGAAAATTGCACCTTACGTAAATGGAATGATGTTTTTATGATTTTACCTGGATTGTATTTTTCTCGAATTTAAAAACATAAATTATTTAAATGTAAATTTAGAATGATACCAAAAATATTTTAAAATTTACTCAAGATTGTTAGTAAAAATGTCTCACTAGATAACATATGTTTAGTATTACATAAACAAAAAATATGTTTTAGGCAAACCTAAATATTTAATTTTTTTTATATATTTTTTTTTAATGCACATGCACTATGTATTATAAAATGCATATTTATAAATATTAGACATGTGTGTATTAGTTAATCTTTCATTTAAAATATATTTCTTGTCTACACTATTGCCGTAATATCCGTATTTTAGGAAAGTTATTAAAAAAATACATTGGTTAATGCTTTTTTGAGTTGTTACAATTAGAAATTTATTAAAATTTAACAAATTAAAATTTTTTGTTTATTAATAAATGTCATTTTTCACTCGAGCTTTGCGTTCCAATAAAAAAATTAATTTTCTTAGCAACGAGGCCATACCAATATTTATTTTTAATATTCGAAGTAATTGAAAATTGATAGCTACGATATCTTAAAAGTATTGAACCGATTTAGCTAAAATTAGTATGGTACATATTCATCAGCTAAAATTTAGCTTTAGTACAGTCATCTTAGTCAAAAAAAGGGATCAACCTCGGAATCTAACGGAATAAGCTGAATTTTTGTGAAAACCTTTATTTTAGCATTACAAATGTTGTCTCAAAAGTCACATATGCCAACGTGTGAGCGACCTTAGATATTCAAGGTCAAAGGTCGCAAAAATCAGTTTTTTGATAATATCTCGTTTTGTCTGCCTCCTATCGTATTTGCATTTATTATAAAAGTTGTAGAGAATAAAGTTCTCTACAAATTTTGTATAAAAAAAAATTTTTATACGTCGAACCGTTTTAGAGGGCGCAGAGTGTGGAGCGCTCAGCCATACGTACCTTTAGCGCAAGGTAAATCGGGAATCCCAATCTATTATACCGTTTTTTTAATTAATTATATAATAAATATTACTAAAATAAAAATTTAATACCTTATACTTATATTTATATTTCTTTTAAATCAAATACATTTTATCTTCATATATATAATATATTATATATTATTATATATATTATAATATTATATATATAATATTATATTATATATTATTATAATATTATATTATATATTATTATATTTTAATTTAATTTTAATGAAGGATAATTATCCTAATTATAATTGGATCGGAGTAGGAAAAAATGTTTTTATTTATATCAATATTATTATTTATCTTTATCTTCTTCATCCTCGTCTTCTTCAGGTTGGCCAGCAATTTCAGACTCATTATCATCATCACTCTCCTCGTTATCATTGACATTAATTGTCATATCTTCAAAAACTTACTTTTAACGCGTTTGTACTTTGCTGATTTTTTTGCCTTTGTTGCCTCATCTGCGACTTCACCACAAAATAAGCACAATATTTTAAAATCAAACACATCATTCCCTTTTTTACGAGGTACAGTTGATGACGTTGAATGTCCAGTCTCTTCAAGGCGACGTTTTGCTGCTGCAATTTTACTATAGTACGCTATAGCGTACAATTTTCGACACTCAATATGAACGTTCACAGAAGTCAAAGTATTTACGTAGTTTATGTTTATTTCTCTCAATAATTGCTTCTTTTAAAGTCTTTATACCGCGCACAAAAGTCACAGAATCACCTTCAGAAAGTAACTTATTACAAATAAAACACAAATCAGCCATGTTAACCTTTAAAGTATTACGAATATTACCTGTCACAACCCTAGACCTAGGTATACCTAGGGTCACACCTTGCTTTAAATATAGGTAGTTTTTATTTATAGCAAGCCCACTATAGTATTTCCAGGTCTGTTATTTTAAAAGCAATATCTGGATCCAAGAGAAGACCAGAGACATATTCAAGGCAAATTCATTTAATGTCTTTTCTTCTTAAAATGCATATTATTAGAATATATTTAGAATGATTCACTTCATTATATAATTATTTGTATGTCAAAAGTAAGTAATATTTAATGACTATTTGTTTAAAAAAAATATATAAAAATAAATATAAGGCAATAAATTGTTATTTAAGTAATATTTAATAAATAATTAATTAAAA